GTAGTAGAGCTTGTAATGTAAACAAGGGGGACAAAATAGATTGAGGTATCAGATGGGGACCAACATATCCAATTTATTAGCTGGTAAGATGGTATGAGAGATTGTGGTTTGGATTGCAGCTGGGGTCAGGTGCCCCTCCTTCCCTCCCAAGCCCCCTTCCCTCCCACCATCTTCAGCGGGGATGAAACCTGCCTCATTCTGCCCAGCTTCAGGACCAACCTTAAGAAGGGCGATCCTGGGCCCTGGATGTGCTTACCACAGGGAGGGAGGAGGGGCAGATTAGCCTGAAAGAGAGAGTTTTTCCTAATCTCGACATTCAGATGAACTCCTCTTTCACACTAGAAAAGTGCAGGAATTGGTGGTGGTGGTGGTAGGTGGAGAGGACAGAAGCTCCTGCCCTAGGGGGTTGGAGGGAAAAAGGAGAGGAGAAGGAAGCATCCTTTACTTTAGATCTGGAAAAAGTGCAGAGATAAGGAATTTGGCCATGAGGCATTCTTCGCCACGCAGATCAAAAAAGAGAGGGGTTTCAGTTCGAAAGTTAGTATATGCTGAAGCATAGGCTCTGCAAACAAAGTCCTCGTATTGTTGGTACTTTTACTTTCATTATATAGATGAGTTAACGGCACTGGGCATCTCTCATGTTCACGTCCTCTTGGACCCACCATTTATTCCAGCCATTGCTATAGCAACCAGCTTGGCATAGGTATAATCTACTAGCCAATACCTCTCCTAGGCTGCACCTCATTTTCCTCACTTTCTGTTTTTGGGGAGGAAAAACTTTATCTCTGCTCTTAGGTTTTTTTCTGGAGATCTGCAAATTAAATTGACAGAGACAGATTAACAAGAGAAAAAGTATTTGCATGTGGAAGCTAACAAAAGAAGTAGCTAGCTTTTATATGCAACTTAGTAGGGGAAAGGGGAGGAGAGAAAGGCTTCTATGGGATAAACAAATAGACTTCTTTAGGAAAGACAAATGGGTTTTTAGAAGAACAAATGGGAAATTAAAAGAAGTTTGTGATAATGTTTGTTTAGGCAAATGTGAGTGGTCTTTCTGTCTTCTGTATGGCCATGAAGAAAACCTCTCCCCAGAGAGGTTTTTGGCAGCCTCATTTCCCAGAGGTTGCTGCTTTTAACCAGATAAGGGAAACTCTGAGAAGGCTTCTTGTGTCAGCATCTGTTGATTTTCAATTGCTTTCAATTCAAAATAATCCTTATGCTGGTGGCCTGTTTTAAGGTGGCATATTCTGATTCTCTTCACTGCTTCAGTACTTCTCCGACATAGCTACATGAGAAGTCAGTAGGAATGTGTCTCGCACTGAAGTATGCATGGTGTGGAGGTGGACGATGTGTGAGTGATCAATAGAACCCATCTCGAACTGTCCCCTCTTTTGTCCCTTGGGCATTCAACATAGCCCCCAGAAGGTCCCCATACTATTGGGGACACAGTTGCCCACAGTGGTGCCTACTTCTTGTAATGGCTTTTCCTCGTTTGCCCACAGTGGTGCCTACTTCTTGTAATGGCTTTTCCTCGTTTCCTGTTGGACTTCTTTCTGCCAATCTTTTCCCCAGGTCATTTCCCAAAATGCCTGCCTAAAGGCCTTTGGCTAGGCTCTGCTTTCTGGTGGAACCCAGTCTAAGACAGAAACTGTAGTTCAAAAAGTTATAGCGATGGTACCAAGATGCTACAGATAATATATGGTAGAAGAAGAATTCATACCTGAGTTTCACTCACTTCCTGCCGTGATATCTTTCTTCTCTATATGTTTTTAGTTGTTATACCATACTCACATTCACTGTTTGAGTCCGCTAAGGCAATACCCAAAATAGACTAGGAGTGCAAAAGAAGAAGATATTTTGTAAAGTTTGAAAACATGAAACTTACATCTGTCTGTTTCTTTGGAATTTTGAAAGTCATTACCATCAATGGTTAAATTTGAAAAGTTTTTCAAAATACTGGTTTTGGAATGGTTTCCTTAAAATTATTTGATTTGGAATCTATTTCATGTGGTTTTTATAACATATAAGTGGTTTTTTAAGACAGCGCAAGCCTGTTTGGTTTCAAACTGTTTTTTTAAATGAGACCACTCACGCAAAATATTTTTGTTACATGTTTATACTATTTAAAAATTAAAGATTTTTTAAAATTCAAACAATTTAAAACTCTTTAGAAACCAATTTATCTGAGTACCAAGATTTCTGGATTAGCTTCACACTATTTAACTTCCAAACATTTAGTCAAAATAGCTTGGATCTGAGACAGATTTCAAAGCTGTGTACTTTCAAAATGGCTCCATCTAGATAATGCGCGGTGATATATGGACCATTTTATTGTCTTAAAACATTGGTTTCCCATCATATTAATATGAGCCTAAGTAATAACTTCACATTATTGCAAAATCGGCTACATATTTTTTTAATTAAAACATCTGTGCAGTGTGTAAATAGATTGAAATGTTTTCTTTATCAATAATATGGAAACTATTTTGCAAAACTTTCAACCCAGCATCCTCCTCTCCTCCCACTGGATTATGACTGTGTGGAATGCGCATCACTGGACAGAACCAACGCTTTGTGTGGATTTCCCTTGTGTTCATTCTTTTACTAGTATTATCTTGTAATTCTCACAACGATGCTGCGAGGTATGTACTATAATAATAGTATATATTACCTCTTTAAAAAAAGAACATTCAGGGTCAGAAAAGGTTTTAAGTAACTTGCCTATAGTCTTAAAGTTACTGAAGGGCTCAGCAGGTTTCAAGCCTCATCTGTTTGACTCCATATCTCAAGCTCTTAACCATGGTGCTTCTTGCCTCGGACCCAGTATTCATAACGTTAACTTACTGAACCACTCTCTCGTATCTGTGTACTTCCCCTCTCTCTAGTCTGTGTCAGTAGATCTCAACCAAAGAATTGCCGTGTCCCTGCAATCAGTCGCCAGATAAATTACAAGTAATTTATTATCGATAACAGATGCTGATAGGAGCTGAAGATTTGTGTTGAGATGTTAGAGTAGACTTGGGACTATCTGTAAAGTAATTTCACTCCTACACATTTCTGTTCACATGATTCTTGAATGGGGCAAGGGGAAAAAGGTACAATTAAAGAGCAAGAAATTCCATCTCGAGATGAAAATAGCATCTTTAGCATCCTCCAGGAGGAGAGTGGACCTTGGCCAAGAATCGAATATTAAATCGAATATTCTCTTTACATGTGGTTACTGTAAGCTTAGGCTGGAGCCAAGGGGGAAGTAATTTAGAAGCATGTTGCTACCTGAGGGACGGAATTTGAAAGGGAGACAGTTAAGAGTGTTGGGTGAATGGGGCAAGAAAGGGACAGTAACAGAAAGGGACAGTAACAGAAAGTAATAGAAAGGACTACCTTTTTTGTTTGAGATAGTCTCATAAATAGAGAATTATAGGGGAAAAGACAATATTTCTTCTTCTCCTTATGGGATGACTGTACCGACTCTGAAATTGATGTTTGTCTTTGGAAATATGAATAGGTGTGTTAGATTTCAACAGTTAAGAGCTGGATGGTAAAGAGTTATGGGGTGTGTCTCTAATTTACATTAATAGACAAATTTCAAATGTATAACAAAGACATTCTGGACTATTTTGTGGGCATTGGAGTGCTTGAGGACAGGGTGGTGTCTTGCAGGAACTCTCCCGCATCCGGATAAATGAACTCAGCTTGGAGATACTGACTGCTGGCGGAGGGATGATGGATCTAGGAAGAAGACCAATTTTTCTTGGCTAGGGTGGAGTTGCGCCAAAGGTTCTTGGAGGAGTTTATGGGAGAGAAGGTGCTTTCACAGACCTGGTGACCAAAAACCAAGACTGGGAGCGGTGGTGTGCTCACAGGGCACTCCCTGAAGGCTTTACAGGCAGGTCACTCCAGAACATCGTTTATTTTCTCATGAATCATTTGGCCCTTGTACATCAGAAAAAAAAAATGTCCTGGCTCCCAAATTGGGCCCTAATTTAAATAATTTGTCATGGACAGATACACCCTAACTGCTGGTTAAAGTTCATCTCCCAGAATTGAACAATTTTGCCCCTCACTTGGTATAAACCTATTAAATTAACTGCAGAATTAAGATAATTATACAAATAATTTAGTCATCAAATATAGTTTTCCCTGAAAAATTCATCTAATTAAGGCAAAGGATTTTTTTTTTCACTTGAATTTTCCCCAAACTGCTTTTGGGCTATGTTCATACAGCTATTGTCTGTGGGAGGAAATGCTTGCTACTGGGAAGGGAGGGGTGGTTGAGAGTCTTATGCAGCGGCAAAAATGATAATTTAACAAATAAAATGGTTGGCTGTATTTCTGAATTCCAGGGGAGGAGCTATTCTGATGAATATCACTCTGATTAGCCTTGATGGACCTTTGAAAGGAGAAAGGTAGGATTCCCCCCTCCTCCACTGAACTTGGAATTTGGATGGTCAATGGTAAGTAAATCACTGTGATGATAAAATCAAAAGAATTAGGGTCTGGGAAGCTGACAGCTGGAGCAGAGTGGAGATCTCCCTAGAGAGAAAGACCCAAAGATGAAGGAGATAAGAATATATCCTAGAGGATATTCCCCACAACATATTTTAGGAGAGAAATGCCAAATATTAATTTTTGACAATGCATGATTGTATATATTTTTGTGTATGAAATATAGAGAATGAAATCCAGTGATATGAAAGGATCTAGGATAAATGGTAAATGTTGATTCAGGATCCAGACTGCCTTCATTTAATTAAGCTCCAGGTCCAACACTTCCTGGCTGCATGATCTCGGGCAGGCAAGTTCCTTAGCCTCTTTGTGCTTCCTCAACTACAAAAGCAGGGCAGTGATGATGCTTGCCTCAGAGTTTTTGGGAGAAATAACTAAATTAACGCTTGTAAAGGTTTAGGAGCAGTATTTGGCCCCTAATAAGCACTTTATATAAGCATTATATTTATATTATTATTAAATATTTTAGAGATGCTTCTCTTAACCCCTATTTGTCCACCAGCTACTGCTCCATTTCTTCAGTCCCTTTATAGCAAAACTCATCAGAATATTGTTTATCTTCTCTGTCTCTAATTCCTTTCCTCACTGGTCTCTTGCACTAGTGTTTCTCAAGGTGTCTTTTTCCATTATTGTCCCCCTAAGGAATCTTTTTCGCCTTAAAAAAAAAATCTCCCATAACCCATGACATATTAATATCACAAATGTAATGTATAGTTGATTATGCACTATATATTTATCTATGATTTATACATTAAAAGAGCAAGGTTTTTTCATTCCCCAAGAATCGACTTTACCTCCATC